CGAACCATGCTGTGAAACACAGTGCTGCCCAGCCCAGATCGGTGAGGCTGGCTGCACTGACAAGAAGCCCTCTTCCAGCAAGTCAGCTCAGGCATTACTATTATTTGTATCTTTTCAGGAAGGTGAAACAGCACTAAATATTATGAGAAAAGTCTGTTTGTACTTGGAAGAGAGATTATTCTGTATTCTAAACACACTAACGGGTTGTAAACTGGCTCAGTGACTGGGCTGGTCTTGGTTCAAACAGGGGGGATCTGGACCAAATGCAGAGGAAGACCTCACAATTTGCGTCACCTAAAAGAATTACAAGCAAGTTAGAAAGAGATTAGTTTATAGAAACATTGGGAGAGGCAGGGCAAAGCACGCATTTTCCTTTTCTCATCTTGGGCTGCCTAATATGGGCGCATTCCCCTGGATAGTTGCGCTAACCCAGCTCTCTATCAGTAATTTTTCTTCATTTAAAACAAAACAAAATCCTCCAAAATCTATCGGAAAAGAGAGAAGAAACCACCACTGGTCCCTTTGGGAGCACGTGGCTGCACAGCACAGCAGGGTGCTACACAAGACAGAGAGAGACTCGGCCTCCCCAAGGGCACAAAGACCCTGCTTAGCTGCTACCTCTAGTCCTGGGCATGGAAGTCTGCAGCACTTGGGTGAGCCCAGGCAATAATGCAATTCTGAGAGTCCAGGGTGCTCTGCACGTTTTGGCACCCAATCCTACATCCGCTAAGTTAGAAGCGTTCCACTTTCTTCTAGGCCATCAAAATACACACAGCAAACGAGTCATAGATTGCTATTCATAGGGATAGCAGCCCAGGAAACCTGTGAGCTGTGCCACCATCCAGCAGGCACCAAGTGTAGTTGAGGAAGTGCCTTAACGTAATGCCCCACCTCTAAACCCCCCCAAATCCTGGCCACAGTCCCCGTGAGACTGGGCAAGAAAGAGAAAAAGGTCCCAGAGCTCCTGGATTCTGCTGAACAGTAACGACAAACTAGTGCTTTCAATCCCAGGAAATTCGAGGCCACAAAATACAAATTCCGACTTAAATCTCGTAAGAGAACCCTGCTTTCCTGTCAGGCCCGGGCAGGAGACACCCAGCAGTGGGTCACCGTGCCACCTGGGGCTGCGATTCACCCCACGCTCTCGTGGCAGCTTGCGGATATGCTGCCAGTGCTCCCGTCAGCGCAGGTGTCACAGAGGGGAAAGTTGCACAGCAGCGGACAAGTCAAGGATAAAGAGGAATGCTTTCTGCCTTTCTGCAAAGGAAGGTGCAACTGGTTTAGCTTTGTCGTTGTACATAGATGTTTCATTCATCTTCTCTCACGTGGTGGAGTCTCTGGACCAGCACTCCTGGAAAGTCCAAGGAAGACAGTACAAAACCTTCAAATAAGGGCCCCTTTCCTCAATAGGAGAGTACCACATCCTCACACTCATTGCCTCCGATACTGATTTACACCTGCTGATGCCTTAGGGTGCTGCTTGATGTCATTTTCCTGTCACATATAATATCCAACTGATACCAAAATTCCTTTTTCAAAACTCCCAAGTGGGATGTGCCACCCCCAGAGATGCAGAGATCTATTTAGAAGTCACCAAACGGTCTTGAAAAAGTTCCACAGCACCCAGCTGGGTCATAACAAGAAATACCAAATACACAGACGGTTGGCTTTCTGCCCCAAAAAAGCCACATTTTCCCCTCAGTGCACAGCCCTCAGACACAAATAGGTTTTCCCTTCTGTCTCTACCCCTTTTTTCAGATAAAAAGGAGAGATTTAGTCCAAGTTGGGCTGCCACGTACTGAAAGCCCCACTCAGTGCCCTGCCGGATGCAGTTACTCAGGAAGATGTGTCATGTGCTTGCCATCCGGGAAGCAAGGAGCCTTATGACCTGCTCCCAGTATAGATCAAGGCCAGACAAGAAGAGAACCTTGGAGAGACAATGACTCATGTACTTCAGCCTCTTCTTATTTCTGCTTGGCATGTATGATTTGTTCCCTTATCCTGCAGGCTAACAGAAACCATGATGGAAGTGCCCGAGGGCCACTGCAGTTTATGTCAACCATCTCAATTTTCAGGTATCTCAGAGTGAGGAAAGCCAGTCCCCCAAGACATGTTCTCCCCCAACCTTTGCAGGTAGCCCCTTTGTGCAGAGGTGGTGGCTTTGCTGCTTTCATTTAATCGGTTTTTATTCTCTTTGCTTTATTATAGAAAGCCTGGTGCAAGTTGGAGGAGAAGAGGTGTGGGAGAAAGAGGCACACCCGGGAGGAGCTTTCTGAGGTATAGCAAAGCCAAAGGGCTGCCCTGTAGAAGGTTTGGCCTTCTTTCGTGAAATACCAATCAAGAGTCACTGAAGCTGCAGTACACCACCACATCCATGGTCCCAAAACAGGGCTGGGACTCTGCAAAAAAATCCACCCTGCTGCATTTATCTCCCACAGCAAGTGGTTCAGGCCCACACCGGAGAATTCCCCCAGCGGATAGCCTTATGGCAGCTTCCTGGGTAAAATTTTGTACCGAGTTTTGCACAACAGATCAGAGAGGAAGCCAAGGGCTTTAGTGGGGATTTACAGGGTGTCACTCTTCACCTGTGCCTGAGAACCCTACAGGGACGCTGGAGGCCCCTGAGAGGGGCAGGGCTCGTGTCAGCGTTACTGCTGCCTTGAAGAAAGGCAGGGAGGTAGCACTGGGATCATCCAACGTGGGCAGCAGCTCCGAGCTTTCCGAGATAGCGCCTCTCACCAGCCAGAGTGCCAGAGATGAGGACGGGGTGGACGTAGGCACGACGAACCGCGCTTTCCTCCCCGCTGCCTGTGGTGCTGCGCGAGATCCACCCCGCGTCGCGGCAGCGGCCATCCCGCAGGCTGGGTGCGGTGCGTGGTGCGGGCGTTAGATGCTCGCGGCTGAAAGTCCGTGAGCTGGGAAACGATGTTCGCCTTTTGCTGAAGTTTTCCAGGTGGATCCTGGCTTGCACACCCAACACAAAGGTAGGTCAAACCCAACAGTTAATGGGGGGAATGCTGAAGAAGGAGGCAGAGTTACAAGGGAGTCCCAAACAAAATAATGTCATGCACTTTGCAGAGATCCTGACCTGTAAAAGATCCTTTCTACTCACTTTGCACCAGAATGTTTGGAGTTTCCAGCTCTTATTTCAAATTTAAAGAAGCACTTGTATGTCTGAAAGTGTTTACCCTCCCCCCCACCCCCATTTGTTCTAACAAAAGCTATTGCCTCTAAGTGTTTTTCACCCACCTAATCAGGTACTGTTTTCACAGGCTGAAACACCTCAACTTGTGGAATTTTACTTAATTTATTGCCAATTAGCATAAACTTTTAATTAGTGATTCAGGTATGGGGTGGGGGGAACAGATGACAATTAAATGAACAGAGACACACTTTTCCTCACCCTCCTGCAAGGCCAACTTCAGTCAAAGCCAACTCTCCCCCACCCCACTTCATTGTCTCAACATCCCTTGTTTTCACCAGCCCCTCCCAAACCCTTCAGGGGTCAGGGTACGTACGTAACAGTTTCTTTCTGCCAGTCCTGACTTCTTACTCATTTACTTCCAACACTCCTGGTTTCTTAATTGCTACCTCTGCTCAAGCCGTGAGTCCCTCAGGGTTGTCCCTGCTCCAGCGCGAGTCATCTATGGGCTACAGTCCTTTCAGAGGTATGCCTCCTCTGGGACAGGGCACCTCCTTCCATGACTGTTTATCAAGCTGGGTCACCAACACTGTCCCCTTCCACCTGCCTCCTCCACCACCCCCTCCTCCCACATCAACTCCCGTGTCTCCTTTGGTGCATGTTCCTTGTGTCTCCTACCTGCACAAGTGGCACGTGCTCCTCTGACCAATTGAACTTTTGGTGTGCAAAGGGGTTTTTACACTGTTTTTTCAGCTGGAAGGGGCTGTGATGGGCATAGAGCAGTTCCTGGCCTCCCCCACAGGGCAGCCCTGCATCTCTGCCCCCCCATCAAAACTCTGTAATTTATGCCAAATATAAATGTGAATGCTCTAATATCAGATAAGCATTTTTTTTAAAGGTATACATCTTGTATGGGCATGCTACCTTGCTTAAGAACAGTAACTTGTTGGTTAAAATTGGTTGCTAAACATAGTCTGGGTTTTAACTAAATCCATAGGAAAGGTTTCTGTGCAGAACTCTGTTTGGTAAACTTGGTTACAGATCACAGGTTCTCTACAACATTTAGATGGAGAGTTTGACATATTGACTCAAACACGAGGGGAAAATCCAGTTAAGTAAACTGGGGCAACAGGACATTATACCTAAATTTCCATCAAACTCATTCCATTCCAACCAGGCTCATGTTACCAGAAAAGTGCATCTCATAGGTCTAAAAGCCTGATTATTAGAATTTTATTTGACTTGTGTGGTAGAACAGCAATGGGAAAATTTACTATTTGGAGAAAGTAGCAGATCATGGCATGTAACAATTCAGTGACACGTAACATCTCAAATTCATAGAAAGTGGTTCCTTCTTATAGGACTCGTCAGCATTCAAATGGTTATCAGGGTGTTCTTGCTAAGCAAACACAGCCTGTATCATCAAGCCAATCAGCGCACCGTCTCGTATTTGGAACAGCTATCTCTTCTTAAGCTTCCCAAATTGGGAAAAATCTGCTCTACAGTTAAAAGAGCCAAGCCTTGCAAGATTCCTAACAGTTACTTAGAATAGCACAATTCCTTAAATTTCAAATGAGAGGGTGAGTCACATACAGCACAGATTGTCACCCGCCCAGGGAAATGTAAAGTCATATGCTTTAGTCCAGTTGTGCTCAGCAGAGCACTCAAGCACTTAAAAACCAAAGACCCTAGCATTAAGCTTTGTTTAAGTAAGAGATTTGCCAAACAGGCATTTATACTGAATCAGACCTCTATTGTCTACTGCAAGCCAGCCACAAAAAGCAATAGTGTCAACCAACAGCAAAGTACCCTGCCACACCTAAAATGAGGACACGTGCTGTGCAGGAGCCGTTTCCGGTTACTGTTTGCTTTGCTTTCCAACCTCCAGCTGCCTCCTGATGTCCGACACATCCATGGGGACCCGCACTGTCAGACCATCCATCCACTTCTTAATGCATACCTGGCAGCCAAGGCGAGATCTGAGAAAAAAACATTAAGTGAGGCTCATCTGTTCCCACAGTAAAGGAAGAAATTCCCCACCCACATCGGGATGTCTGCTCCAGGCTGGGTTTTCACTGCAGTTCCTGTTAAAGGTCTCCTGTGCCCCAAGAGAAAGCAGCTCCAGAAGCACAGCCATAAACCAGAGTAAGTCCTGTCCCCTTGGAAATGGGTCCCAGGTGCTGAGAATCTGCCTCAGAAGCTTGAGAATCTACTGCAATCAGCAGAGGTGCTTACGTCTCAGTGAGTCCGTACGCCAAGTCCAGCATGTCCAGCTCTTCATCTGAGATGGCATCCAGCTTTTGGAAGGTGTCCTTCTCAAAGATGAGGTGACAAGTGGAGCAGGCCAATGTCCCTTCACATGCACCTGGTGGAGAAACAAAGGAGTGACAGCAAATCAGAACGAACAAGGGGATGAGAAAGGTCACCTCTGGGAACAGTGTGAGAAGAGGTCCTTTAACAGATCTGGAGCATGTCAAAAGAGATACCAGAAAACACAATAGATGGATGCAGATTTCAGCCTGCTTCCTCTCTGGCAGGATCACAATCAGTTTTCAAATTTGCACTTCAGCTCTAACCAACCAAACGCATTGACACATGCCGCTGGAATCCCAGCATGGCAGTGTGGAAGTCACACTGGCACCTCAGTGAGGTGAGCCACTCCAGCAAGCAGCTGTTGGGGAAGAGAAGCTTGCTCCATGGTCTCACCAGAACACAGCAGCATGTGTGCAGTTGCACTGTTCCCATGTACCCACTGGTCACAGCACAGACACACAAACCCTAAGAGCACATACCCTTGTGCAACACCTACCAAATCCATCGATGGCCAAGTTTTGATTGACTACCACTTCCAGCAAACTCTCCCCTTCCTTGGCTGTGGCTGTAAGTCGCTCTCCATCCCGATTTATAAAATGCACCGTCACCTGGTCTGCAGGGCTGCAAGACAATTTTGCAAAAATCAGAGGACCCCACCCTTTCCTGCACACCCACCATTGAGGTCTTTTGGCTGAGCACTAGAGCCATGGCACTGGGAAGGAAACGTGCATACAAACACTTTCTAGAAGAATTACACCACGTGTGTCAGAAGATATTCAGATTGTCAGTTCTCAGGCAAATCTGAGTTGACCCAAAATAACTGCCACTTTAGCAAATGTCCTTCAGAATAAAAGTTTAGCTGTGCATGAACAAGGGCAGATGCTCTGCACCCACTGCCGCTGCTTGGGCTGGCCGGTGGCGGAGCATTTGTAGACAGGCAAAGCGTTTGGAAGACCTGGGATGTTGATCCTGGATAGAGTGATGTAATAACAAGAAAAACGCTCAGGATCAGATACTAATCATGCAATAAAGGCAGTTGCCATTCACATGTTGTTTCCTCTTCCTTTCCCAAGGGGATTACTTGATGACTGTTCCTTTTCTGGCGCTTGTTCTTTCATGAAGTCCCCACTCCTTACCTGAAACAATCACGGGGAGCCTTGCTATGATGAGGCATGCTCAGCCCCAGCTTACAGAGCAACCGTGCTGAGTAACCGCCTCTGAGCTGATGTGATCCTTGCTCAGGAGAAATTGCTAGTGATTTTGACAGCCTGCAAGATTTAATCTGGTAGAGAGTTACAAACAAGGCCAATACCATCTCTTAGAGCTCTGCTTGCAGAAAAAGCATCTACAAATAAGAGGGAACCAGCATCCACTTCTCCTCCAGACCAGGATCTCCCCCACCAGTCTGGAGAAGTGCTGCCAGCCTGAACAGCGGTGTCAGGGATTTCTCACCATCTATTATATTTGTCAGGGGAAGCATACGAGCAAACAGTGGTTTTTCTTAGTGTACATACCCAAATGGTCACTTAGAAGCAGGAGGTCCCAGTTACCCAAAGGTCCCACCTCCTGTGCTGAAATGGGGCAGCACCCTGGAGGCAGTGGGTATTTTGCCCAGCACCTCTCAGTGTGGCACTGCCCAAGTGTCCAGCGTCTCAAAGCCCATGACGTTCTCCAGTGGCAGAAGCTGGGTCCACCCTCTTCTCTTCCATCAGGCCAACAGCACACACCACTCTCCCAGAGCTCTGGAAAGATCCACCTCAGTCTCCCACAGCTCTGATAAACGCCCAAGCACTAACGGTGTCCTGTGACCTTGGTGCTGTCATTTTGGGCATAGGAAGAAAGAACCACAGCCTTGAAGACAGAGTGAATTTCACAGTGAGAACTGGCCAAACTCACAATCCTGTTTTTCCCCCATTTACACAAGACTGAGTGAAGCAGCATCCATCTTCTTCCAATAAAAGTGCTGATTGGTATAAAGCTTGATAACACTTCTCCTGGAAGCCCTGGGGCCAGTGAAACAAACAGCAAGCATGGCTCAGAGCTCTGAGAATTTCTAATATTGTCTCCTGATTTCTTGGAATGTATCTGCAATATACACTGAATACAAACTGTCACAGCCCCAGAGTCACACATTACAGCAAAGCCGACAGCTGAGGAAGCGCTGTAGCACCTACGCTCTGCCGTGCCAGGCATCCTCTTGGAAAGTCACAGAGGCTGGGAGGAGGAATTGGTTAAACGGGAATTGTCCCTGGGATAGCAACACCAGCAGCTGAAAGGCCTTACCCTGTCTGCTCATCCCTCTCTGCTCTGTGGCAGATGAAAATGAAGCATGTGGAGACCTCTGCTGATTTCCTTTTAGCATTAAGCACAGAAATATATAAGGATCAAGTTTAAACATTTTCCTTTGCTCTCTCTTAACTCACAAGAGGCAGAGGTGGAGTATGGGGGATAAATCCAGCTCAGGAGGAGACAGGAAAGAATTCCTGTAAAAACGTAATGGAAAAAAGGGATGCAATGTTCTCCTCTTTCAAATTTGTGGGTCTTGTGCATTATGCTGCACAAGTCACAATCACCATCTAGATCTAATCCAATTTACCTGCTGACAAATCACTGCAGTACATCTCTAAGTGATTAAGGATGCTGTTTCTTAAAATGTTGTCACATGGACTACGTCAGCAAGACTTCAGGTGCAGAAAAATCCAAACAATTATCTCTGTGGAAAGCTAATTCCCATATTCCATCAAAATTTGGAAATGGAGAAAAGGAGATTAAACAATATTTTTTGCCTTCTCTGCTCTTCTGTTTTCAGCTGCATCTTGATTCAGCTAGCAGGAGCAGAACACAGGGGCTGCTGCACCTTCATCTGAGGTGGCAGGCTTCCTGTTTTGCAGAAAGCTTCAGCAGAAAACAATGCCTGGGCCATTAGTCTACAACAGGGTCCCCTGGTTATGAAAACAGCTGTGAAGTTCGCACTGAGACCATGCTGCAGAGGGAAGTGTTTCCCACGTGCAGAACGGAAAGATCACGTTGCAGTCACGCACAGGCAAGCAGGACCACCGTATTTCCCAAAGCAAATAGCCAAAGAATATCTTTAAGACATTTCAGTCTCCTTCACAGAGACACCCACAGACATTTCTTTGTAAATAAGCAATTTAAAGACTAGTTCTCAAATGTCAAAACAAAACAATTGTCTCTGTATTTTGATGGATTAGACCTATTTATTCCATTTTTATGGCAAACAGGCAGGTTTCCTCGCAACGTTGGTTTTACAGTTACACAATAGAAATGGTAAAGTCATAGGACATCACTTAACGCTGCAACTCAATGCATTCTTCAACAGGATAATATGAGCTGGCTGCCTGCAAGCAGAGAGCGCTGGATCCAACAATCCCCAAAGCTGCATGCACATTTATCGACAAGTTCATTCGTATTGTCTTTGAGGTACCTAGAGCTTCACCTGACATCAGTCCCCGGGGACGCCCACACCAGGCTCCCACGGATCCTCGGGGGATTTGTTCCCTGCAGTTCCTCCTGGACACAGCCCTGCTTGGGCTGCTGCTGCCAGTTAAAAGAGCCTGAGACAGCTGAGTTGCAGCCAGGGACAGCACACAGGGTATCCACTCAGCTATAAGGAAGTACAGATGCTATTGCCACAGACCCCCTGCATGACTTTGGGCAAGCCTGGGTGGAGCAGTTCACCCTTCTCGAGAGCAGGGACGATGTCAAGAACTCCTAGACCACGACATAGAGAGCACTAGCTTCTCTGTCTTTGCTGGCTGTAGGGGAAATTTAAGCTGTTTGCCTGTGTTCTTAGTGTAGGTGCCTCTGTTGGGGGCATAAACCCAGCCTGATTACTTCCTGTTTTCACTGTCCAGTTCAGTCACCTCCCACAGACCCACTCGCGTACTGGTCTAATTGTCTTCATATCCCCCGAATCAGTTCCAGGCTCGAGTCTCCTCCGGAAGTCACCTGCTTTGGGTGCCCGAGGCTTCAGGAGAGCTTGGAAAGAAGATCCGTAGATTTTTCTGTTTACTTCTGAATTTATGGGCATTTTTAAAACTATAAAAAATTCCTTTCACATTTTGTTAGGAAAATAATTTTGAACCAGGATTTTAAAAACAACTCAAAATTGATCCGACTAAGTTTTGCTTCATGTAGGCTGAACTATTTTACAATAGCATTACTGTCACAGGACACACTGTCAGAGCTTTGGGAAGATCTTATCAGTATGTGACAAACTCAGCGCTGCAAGTTCAACACATGATAACTGATTATTCCCTTTTAAACAAAATCTCAAACTTTTGCTGACACAGGTTACTAGTGAAGGGAGTTTCAAGAAGGTTGTTGTTCTTCCTGTCAGTGTTTTTCCCTAAAAGATATTTTCCAAGGCCATACAAAACAGCAAGACGCCTACAAGTACTGCCAGAGATATCTTCATAAGCAACAAACCAATTAGAAAGAAAACCCACTGATAACAAGTCTTCATAAATCTCATTAAGGAGGATTATCAGTATAACTTTTTCTAAGGTCAGATAGCAAAATGGTTTATTGTTATTTTCTCTGATGTTGGTTGGGTCTTGTTCTCAATGCCTAGTAGATTACAGTCTGACCCAGACTGTGCTGGCCTAGGAGATCGGCAAAGTCCCTTTATGCTGCTCAGAGAAATGCAATCTCCTGAACGATCCCTAAGGAACGGAGGAAGGACTGGCAGGGAGTCCGCTGTAGCTCCTGCTTTAGAAACACGTGAGTGCTCTGTGCCAGGCAGCCTCTCCGGCCAGCCCCCTCCTGTCGGCACAGGGGGACGGCCCGCTCCTGCATCGTTAAGCTTTCCTTCTTGGAGAGTGTCCAGCCTCCCTGGACTCCTTTGCCCTCCCAAGGGACTCTGTCATCCAGGCCCCTCAACAGGCCAGAGTCTGCCCTTTCAGATGAGTACCTGAGAGTCCTCTACCCTGGCAGGGACCAAGTGCATTTAGAGATATTTCTAAACATGAGCTTCTGACCAATTTCCACCGCACGGTTCAACTCACGAACGAGCACCATGACAAACTGCATCCTGCCCTGAGCAGGCAGTCTCAGCAAAGCCCAGCACAAGTCACTTGCCTCAGGAGCCTGGCAGGACACCAGTGCTGTGGGTCCCACACCCCTTGCACCTGCAGCCACCACCTGAGCAGCTGAGCGCTTGAGCCAGCTCCCCCATCTCCCTGTCAAGAAGAGCACGCCAGCAAGGCGTGAGAGCTTCCAGCATGGCTTTCTACAACATAAAGAGGGCATCTTCCTCCCTGGCGCTGCAGGCATCATCGGCTCCCTACTCTGCCTTTACAGCAGCAGGGACAAGAAACCCAAAGAATTTGCGGTTCCCAGAGGAACCCAGCGGTCATCCCAGCTTCCCCACAGCAGCAGCACAGCAGGCTAACAGCCCGGCTGTCCGACACGCCTTGCCCACCACCCTGTTCCCCAAAGGCTGGTGAGTGGGCCCCAGGGTCTATGGACTGTTGTGCCACCTCTCCATCTTCACACTCCAGATCCAGGCCACGAGCTGTGGCCTCCACAACTCCAGCAGCTCTCACAGGGCAGCTCCTTGCACCACCTTCCTCCTGTCAGCATCTGCTTTGCCTACACTTCCTCATCCACCACCTCCCGCAGCCCAACCGTGCTTCGCACTGGCCTCTCTCTTCTCCCTTCTGTGGGGCAAGGCAGAGGTAAGCGTGGGTCCCTCCCAAAAAGGCCCTTCCCGAGGCAGCAGGGTAGGGCTCGGAGTTTTACTCACCGCGATTCCCCAGGGGCATCCTGGAGCCTGTGCGTGGAGCTGAACCCTCTTTCTGACCCCTGTTTAGCTGGCGTGTGATGCTGCTCAGGCACCCCACAGAGGTAAATAAAGCGAATTTTGCTCGCATTCAGTCCACTTAGCAAGGGTCGCATGAGCCCTGAGATGCCTTGAGCTATCATGCTACTGAGGGTTCTGCTCCGTGTCTCCTGGGCTGTGGGTCGTTGCAAGGCCAGCTAGATTAAGAGTTATAAGTACAGCTGGCGGGGGGGGGGAGGGGAGAAAAAAAAAGAAAAAGAAAAAGAAAAAACTAGGACAGCCTCCTTGGGGGTGGAGGGAGGGAGGAGGGAGGGGAAGGAGGAGGGAAGGATGGACAGATGGATTGTGCTTGGATCTTGCTGCAGTCCAACCCATCAGGGCACGGGAATTGGCTGAAGCATGGTAACACGAGCATCATCCCCACGTAGCAGTCCCCAAGCAATGCTCACCTTGTGCATTACAGACTTCCCTTCTAGGAATCAGACCTAAACCCAGTTTCAGTAACAATATTCATTGCAATGTCTAATCATACAAGGGGTTGCAAGCTGAGGGCTGGAAGAGTAAACTGGCACAAGCACCAAAGCCTGCTGCCTCAAGAAGAGAGGGGCATGCCAGTTCTTACGGCAATGGGTTAAGAGTAAGACTTACAGATTCCGCTCTTGACATGGATGTCGTCCAGCCACGTCATGCCTTCCCCAAAGCTGCAGGCTCCCAGCTCTAAAATGTGAACATTCACTTACTTCATAGGATGGTGGTGAGAAGCAGCCACAGTTTGTTCATTTGCTAAATTCTCTGCTGAAAAGTGCCATAAAGGCACAGATAAGTATCATTCGTTTCACACCGATACCCCATGCTACCCTATGCTAGCGAGACTTCTGCAGCAGAAAACTCCTTCATTCCCAGAAACACTGTCGCTAGTTTAGTTTACACTCCTCTCCAGGGTAAATCAATTTGCCCCTGAGGACCAAAATGCAACAGCAGAGACAGTTTCAGTTCCTGGTTTTTGTGGAGTTTGATAGCAGCTCTCATCTCAGGAGCCTGAATTGTCCCTAATACCAAATTAACAGTTCACCAATTGGTAGGATGTTTGCTTTAATCAAATTTTTTAATGCAGTAACATATTAGTAGCCAGTATAAGCCAAAACCTTTGAAACTGGACTCTTTAATCAATCTGTAGAGGGGAGAGAAACTACCGCATGAGAACTGGCTGGAAAATGTTCCCCTCAACACACATACACTGGATTCATAGTTTTGAAGATAACTGGAAAGTTTTCACTTTTTACCCCCAAAATGAAAATCTTTCACCCGAAGCTTTCAGGTTGAAAGGGGATACTTAAGCTTTTTGAGAAAAAGCATCAAAGACTTTAAGGAGCAGAAGTATTTTCCATAAAGGGGTGAAGGGGGGAGGGAATGCTATTCTTCTATCCAATAAACTTTTAAAGGCAAGTGTCCAAGCATTCGAACACACCACTGAGATAGCTTCAGCAGAAAAAAAAAAACCCTCATGGGCAATGCATAAAGGATTAAAAAAGAAAAACAGCACTTTTTTTATTTTTAGGGGGAAATCCAGTGTCTAAAATCACCTGTCTACTTCCCTCTGTTCACCTTGCAACCAGTAGAGCAGCACAGAGGAACATTTCATTCCACCTTGCCCGTTTGCCAAGCACAGGCTGGCAATTACTGCTCCCACGACAGGACACAGGCAAGAGGAACATGCAGCGCTCTGCTACGGAGGGACATGATCTGAGATAACGTAGAGCCATGTTTGTAGGGCATCCAGAGTGAGTGTTACCCCCAAGTCCAGAGCTGGTGAGAGAGCTGCTGTCTGCTGAGAGGCACCCGTGGCGTGCCCCTGGAGCAGCAGCGCAGGGTACAATGCCAAAGCGGGAATCCCACGCGGCAGGCATGGGTGCACACCAGACTGCCCAGGATCACTGGGACTTCTCTGTAACTGGGGCTGGGGGATGGAATCGATGTAGAAATTCCTCATTTTAAATAATTTGTAGAATATCCTTCAAAAGCTTTCCTCCCCACCCTTGCTTGTATCACAGAGGAGAGCTGGCAGTGAGGCGAGTGGTTTGTTTTAGCTGAACACAGCTCCAGCCCGTGTCTCTGCTCTGCGGGGTCCCTCACTCTCAGGTCAGCTTTTCCAGGTGGTTTGCTTTCTTCCTGCAAGCTGCCCTGAATACTTCAGCCTTCAAACCCAGGTTCTTGGGCTGCAACTCACCCCTGAATTTAAGGTAACTCTCTGCAGCTGAGAGACTCTGCCCAGTCCTGCCTTGGCTTTTCAGGCACTACAGAGATGCAGTAGGCAGCCCAGTTCTGTGTCTCAGTCATTTCTGGAGAAGGAAAGCAAGGCTTGCCATGAGAGACACAAGGAAAGGGGCCATAGCACATCCAAACAAACCACTAAGCATCTTATCTCTCCAGCAAACCTTGAATTGAGAGATACACTAGATATATGCGCAGCAGCTTTCACAGCAAGGACATTTGTGTGTTTGCCTGGCACTGACCTCTCTCCTTGCCAGGAACTCAGAGCACAGCAAGTAACAGGTCAATGCCACCTGATGGGAGAGATGCCAACACAGAGAGGGGAGGTCAGATCCGAGAGCATCGTACCCAGTCCTGCACAGAGGTGAGAAGCAGTCAAGGGGACGTCTGTCCTCTGGTGAAAGCAAGAACAACCCTGCTGGGTCAGGACAGAATCATGACCTATACTCACTTTGGATAGCCTGTTTTAAGGTTTGAATCAGGGGGAAAAGGGCAGAAAGTAAGATCTCCTTTTACCTCCTCTCTGGCATTCCATCCAGCAGCAAGCCTAGAAGTAAACACAGCCTTTCCAGAGAAAATCCTTGTTCATTTAGCCCAGGACTCAAATAGAAAGCTTTGCAAATAACCACCCCTCCCACAGAAAACAAACCAACCAACAACAAAAAAACCACAAAACAACAAACCACCAACCCAATTAAGGAAAATATCCTTGCTTTGAAAAAAACCTTCAAAACATTGCTTTGGAAGTCAGCACACCCTTCATGGGCAGGGCAGACGCAGCTGAAGTGAATCTCTAGCTCTGTTTCACAGAAATTCGGCAGAAGCCAAGTTTCCATCAGTGTGCACATGCACACACACCTCCCACCCCGCACCCCTCCTTGGTTGCCAGCACACCACACCGCTATCAGTGGGGTGGCTGTGCCTACATGTCTAGCAATGTGTTAGCACATGCTGGGAAGGAAGTGGGTTTCTGCCTTGAAACAGATCGCCCAATTTCTTCTGCAAAGGACAATTTGCTGTTCCCTGCCCCCAGTCTAGGGACTTTAATGCAAGTGTCCAAAACAGGTACAAGGTGTCACTAACTCCACCTCATCCCTGATTTCTGCACAAGAAGTAAACAGGTTGCAATCAGCGCTGCAGCGATCCAACAAGAAGTTACAGAATACCCTTGCAGCCCTTCGCAGCCCAAAGCACTCAGACTCCTCAGATACCAGACCCAGCTTTTCCGTCCATCAGTCGTGTTTCAGTCCTTCCATGAGCCAATTCAGTAAACGGGCATAGTCAGCACAAGGCAGGCTTGCCTCTGTTCCTTTGGGCAGAAGGCACTCTGTGCAAACAGCTTTGACCAGAAGAACTCTTCTTTAAACTTTGGGGCTTTCAAAAGACCCTAGATGGAAGGTTTAAAATGACCATATTAGTCTGCTGCCTCTCTGAAAGCAGATGAAAATCATTGTTTGAACCTGTAGTTATTAATATGTACATTAATAATGTTTTAGCAATGCTGCAGTTCTGGGGTTGTGAAAGTAACTCCACTACCATTTGAATCAAGATTTGATACATTTGATAAGTGAAGGGAGGAAGAAGTTCCTCTGCAAAGGAGAAGGAGAATCAGAAGGAGCGGGAAGAATCAGGAGAGGCAGCCTGTCCTGCAGCAGAACAGCCACAGGAGCAGGAAAGAGAAGAGACAGAAATCATACACAAGTCAGAAACCACCTGGCTACTATCCATGAGCAAGCTGCAACATATGCAGAAAGATTACAGGTGTCATCCAGGCAAGCAAATGCCTCCAATACTGGAGCATTTTATCAAATCTGTATTTGATAAAGTCCCAGGTGCTCAACAGTGGAAATCCCAAAGGAAAAGCATCCAGAGGGGAGGGAGGAACTGAGCAAGCAGCTCAACAAGTCACGCCAAAGCTGAAGGCCAGCGCTGTGCCCTGGTACAAAAGTCATCGCTCCTTTATTGCTTGGAGCAAGCAGGACTGGCCCATCTGTGGGAAAGCAGGCAGTCTGGCACGTGAAGGGCACGGAGCTGAGTTCCATGAAACAGGCCACCTGGTTCAGCCACAACTCGTCTGCCTTGGAAGAAACACATTACCCTCTGTGCCTTGTTTTACCTCAGAGAAATGGGGAAAGGATTCCTGGTTGGCCTGTGAGTGTGAATGAAGGATGATGGATAAAACACACACCTGAGACAGAAGTGCTCTTGCCAGAGCTGCACTGGCTTAGTCACTGCCGAGAGGTAGCCAGAGGCAAGCCCATGCTGTTCCTGTGGGTGAAGTCTCAGGGACTGCGGTCAGAGGCAGCAGACACACAGACCCAGGAATCACAAAGGTTTCCAGAACACAGCCTTTGTTCTTAACTTCAACAGCAAGAACAGCCTATCCCTCGCCTCCTACCAAGCCCACCACCTCGCAAATACTCCTGTAAGGAAACATGTACTGGCTGCTTATGTACACAGAACTAAAGCCACTGAACAAAACTAAAGTTCTCCTTCCCCGTTGTCACTATGAAAACCCATCAACCACCTTTTCTGTTCCAGAACAAGCTGCTAATACAAATAATTTTGTTGTTCTTTGCAACAATTGCAGTTGTTCTGGCTTCGCCAAGCCCACAGGACCAGGTGCAGAGTGCTGCCCCAAAACAGATGCAGTGGACGCAAACCTGCAGGCAAAAGTGCTTGCAGGAAGTGTGGTCACCTCTCAGATACTGCCTCATAGAGGCTGGAAGGTTAGGAGGAAGACTGTAAGTGTGCCTCAGTTTCTACATCTGTCAAACAAGACTACCATTTGCCCACTCTGACCTTCCTCTAGATGTTCGGCAACCTCCTGAGAACCACTACAAACAAAAGGAGCAAGGGCCAAATTTTCACCACTGGAAACAAGAGGACAGTAATGCAGTCAGAGATGAGCTAACACTGCAACAAGGAAACAAGATGAATTCACAACAGGGCTTCTTGACAGCAGCCACCTCTGGAGACACAGCTGCTGCCTAGCTGGGTAAAGGCCACTAAGTAAAGTTACAGCGCCCCAGCCAAGGTCTTCATTTGCAGATGCTTCTCCTTCAGGCAGTCAAGGATGCTTCAAAGATGGATGAAAGGGCAGTACTGCTGCACGTGGGGTGTAGACAGCCTTCACCGTAACCTCCCAGTTCAAGAGCAGTGTATGCCACATCCCCTTGACCCTTCAGTCAATCTTGATGACTGACAATTAACCCTCGCTTGTATTTCTTTAAAAGAGCACAATCAGAGGCAATAGCAATGATGGGAGCTTGTAATTTTCCAACTAGCTCTGCTCACCAGAAGGCTGTATTAACACCTGCTCAGAGCCAAGTGCATTCTCAACAGAAGTTGGAGGTACAGTCCCTTCCAGAAACTCCTAATATTCCTTTTTGCAGTCTCAGCACTACTTTTTCCTTC